CATATAAAATCAGCATGGTTCTCATTTTTTTAGGCATAATAGGTTCCTGAAATATGCATAGGATGATGTTAGTGCCTCAAGAAGTAAAAGGAAAGAACGGAACTTTATCCCTTGTAATTATATGCACATCACAGAAGACCCTTGATAGCAAGTTTCAGATGCAATCAGATTGATCCCCCGACAAACATTTCAGAATTGAGGCTTAACTCTTGGGAATATGAGGATCCTAACTCCTAAGTTTTGAAGAAAGTATGGGAAAAAGTAAGCATTGCTCTTTAAAGTTCATCTCGTAGAAGCGACATTCCATTGTTTACTCGATAAAACCAAAGCAATAAAAGAACAACTGCAAAAATGGTAAAGGCTATCTCACCTTAATTGAGTACTAAAATCTAGCTCAGGAATACAACGTAAACTAAAAGAATCCCTTTGTGAAAACTCAATTATCGTCACAGTAGTGGAAGGAACATCAATTTTCAGATGGAAGGTAACCTGTTCTAACGTAATCCTGCAACATATTTTGTTGATGTAGTATTTGTCCATAGTAATAGAAGTACATTTTAGCTGAAGATGCTTCTATCTTGCTATCAAAATTGGCTTTTCGAACTTGTTATGGTTTCATTGGGCAAATATGATCCTGGAGAGAAAAGACAAATCAGTACCGTATGGGTATTTAATGCAACTTAACAATCCATTATCAATTCAGCCTGTACCACCCATTTATTCAGACGAACCCAAAGAAAAGCTACTTTCACAGATTTCTCTATAGTTTTAATCCACAACAGAGTTCAAATAGATCATCTTTGCAAACACAAGAGTTCCAAAAGAAAAAGTAACAGGTGTATGCATGCTGCCAAAATTTATAAGAGATAAAGACACTTTGCTAATCCACGTATAAAAAGAAGACTAACCTTCAGATATCACTTCTTTCTTCCATGGTTCAAATGCATAATGGACGGCCCGGCCCTACTTTCATCTTCATTCCTACATTGAATTGTGCTTCGACTTAAATACATTTTCTAAAACAAAATCGCAGAGTCAAAAGATGGCCAAGGAGAAATGCAGACCAAACATGATAGCCAAAGACAAAAGTTTTGGGAATTGTGTTCTCTGCAAGTAAAAACTCCAAGCAAAAGACAAAAATTTTAGGAAAAGAAGCAAAAGAAAATGAATCAATATAGTTAAATCTTGATTAACATTCAATTTACACAATCAGAAGAGCAAAACAAGGAATTAATTGTCATAATACCATGAAACAGAAGAAAACCCATAGCTTAAAAATTACGCCTGCAAAGTTGTATTTCATTCTTGGAAAGAAGAAACATCTCTATTCAACAATTTTCCTATCTTTCCATGAGTGGCGTGCAAGTTTAGACGTTGAAGAATCTTTCGGTTTGAATTTCTTCAGGTTCGTGTTGGAGTTTGCTTCTGGTCTTGATGTTTAGCCACTACAAGAGCCATACAAATAATGTTTCATCAATTTTATAAAAAACAAAACATAAAGATGTGTTCAAAATTAGCTACAAAAGACAATGTTTACTGAAACAAAAAAAAAAAAAAAAAAACGTTAGACAACATTTAAAAGAAAGGTAAATACTAACTTTTATTGTCATTCACCAACTATATCCTTTTTGAGCGCATGAAGTTGAAGGAATTGAAACTGTGTTCTTGCCACCAACACTGATATTAAAACATTCTCCTTTCACCTTCAATTCCAGCAAAACAAACAGAACGCGAGAACTAAAGTCGATAACTGAATCAAGAGAGCCGAAACATGACAGATCTAAAGAACCCATGAACAATTTTAATTAACTAAGAATAAGGATCAAGGGATCCACATACAAAGATTCATATTCAAATGGGAAGCTAAAGGGGAGTTAAACAAAATTTAGGCACAAAAGGCGGCTAGGAAAGTAAACCAAAACAAAAACAAAAATGATGAATCAACCACTGAAACAGGAAGAAAAGAAACCCATCGATTAGCTATTACTGCTGGAGATTCAATCTTATATCCATTTACCAAAATCAGAAGAACATGATAGATTTTTAAAATAAGAAAAAGCAAAAGACGCACCATAAAAAAGATTACTCTTTTTTTGCTTCTTAATAGAACCAAGCTAATCCTTGTAGTCATTGTTGGCTCCGCCATCGATTCATCTAATGATAAGTGATATTCAATTAAGAGCAAAGAAAGAGAAAAGGAAAACACAAAATTTCAAACCAAAAGCCAATTAAACAAGCTAAATTACAGTTCATAGAATCTCGTGAACAAGAATCCCATTATCCGTCAAGCAGAACTATTTCACTTACAGAATTTTTTTTTTTCCGATTGTTTACCTTAGCTCTTTTGATATAGCACTGGAATGTGAAAAATAATGATTATGTTTTTTTTTTTAAATGTTAATGCATTGGATTCTTAGTTCCCTAATTTTCTTCTCTAAATTTGCTCCATTCAAGAACTATTTTGTTTATTTCGATTTTATTTTTGCTAAAACTCGATTATTTCGGAGGAAGTTTAGATTCTTTTGTTTTCAGCCGCCGGTTTCAGAGATGTTTTGCTCCAATCAGATTACAAGAAACTGATTGGCCGAGCGTAACTTTTATATTAACTTATAGATTATAGATAAGGACAAATAGAGGTGCCGTTCTGGCTTTTTGTTGATAGATTTTTGAATTGGGAAGCTTGAAAGTTCTTTATGTGCGTTGGCAAAACCCATTAAGTATGCAGGGGTGTATTTGGAAACTTATATTAAAATTTGGTTAAGTTTGACCAAAAATAAAATCTTATATGTTAGCAAAAGTGGACAATAATTATGGGACTGAGGGAGTATGTCTTAAAAAAAAACTCAAATATAAACTATTTTTTGGGACATATAAAGTACAACTCTCAAATTCAATATGAATTATTTATTTATGTATTTATATTTTTGGACATATCCTTTTTAAACTTTAACAATTTATGCTTGGTGGATGTACACAACAGTCTTGGCTAACTGGAAGAGTTGGGAAAAGCAAAATCTATTTGGGATAAGCAAGAGTAAGGATTCTCTCTGATTTCTGCTAGTGTGTGTTTATGTTAGAAGTAATTTTAAAACTTAACTTATTTTTTATATATGAATACTTCCTAAGTTAATAATGCATTTTCTATTGCAGGTTGGCACTTGGATAGTTGTTCCTTAATCATAACTGGAGATTTGAACCAATGCCAGGATGGATCATTGATGAAGATGATGACGACTACTTCATTTATTTTTTGTTTTTTTCATTTACATTTTATTTTTTACAATAATGTACTGCTGCAAGACGTAATGAAATTATACGTGTTTTGGTAGTAAGAGGATAACCACTTTTTATATTGTGATGAATACTTTGCAATTATTTTGATATCAATCATATTATGCCACCAACACCATTTATTTTTATATTATGCATGGACTTGATTTTGCATATCTAATGTCCTGATCAATCAAACTCTAGGAAATAATCTACGTAAGGCTATACGCGGCGTATTAGTGATGATTTCTTTTTGAAAATCCATGTATATTAACAAATAAAAGTTGCGACCCAAAAAAAAAAAAAAATTTACATCTTGCAATTTTATTTCCTTTATGAGATAAATAGAAGCAAACACATATATCATATTAATTTAGCCTAATCTCCATTTGAGTTGCATTGACACTTCATTATGAGTACAATCTAATTTATTTTTACTCATACAATATTTACTATTACCAACCAATTAATAATTTATTTATGTTTTTAACACATTAAAAATGGGAAATGTATTTTTTCGTATATGTGTGTGAATAAATCTCGGGCTTAACATCTAATAGTAATAATCTAACTTATTATTTTTACTCATGTAATATTTATTATTACCAACCAATTAACAACTTTATTTATCTTTATAACACACTAAAAATAGGGCATGTATTATTTCGTATATGTGTGTGAATAAATCTCAGCGAACCAACTTCTAATTGATTTGAACAATTTCCTTTGTCGCTGTAAGTGTAATCACGCTATCTTTATCAACCTCAAAATTCATTCTAATGCAAATCTAGTTTTTCAAAGGGCTCATAGAATTCTTGTACAATCATATGATCCACCATGCAACGTTAGTACCTCGAGCCCCTAGTTACACTCCCGAAATTATTGTCTAGTTTGATTTTTTTTTAAGTTTAAATTATACTAAAATTGAAACATAAATTGAATAATAAATTTGGGATAGAAGGAGTACCTTTTTCCTATCCTCGTAGAAGTATGAATATTGACACTTCTCTTCATGAAGGTTGAAATTTGCAGTCTAAAATATGAAAATTAATGATTTCATAAAGCAAATTTAATGACGAAGAGTATAGATTTTATAATAAAAAGTACTACAGCTTCTCATATTAAAATTGCAAACTTAAATCACAAAAAATTTCCTCAAAAAAAAAATAAATCACAAAAAAAGAAAAATGTTACAATTCAAAGAGTATCGATAGCGAAAAGAAAATATTTTCGTGAGGATAAACACCTATTTTTCCTACTCTAGTATGAACAGTAATTTTATGGGTATCGACTTAAAAAGTAACTATCCATTTCCTCTGTATTTTGGCATCTAAACAATTCAAGTTCATGTAACTCTAGCTCCTATATTTTTCCTTACAATATGTACTCTAAATATGGCGTGTGTGAGGACAACAACAAAAGAAAACACCTAAAGAAATTTCCCGGATGCAGTTCAATTGAACTTAAGGAAATGACACCTATTTTCCTACTCTAGTATGAACATTAATTTTATGGGTATCGACTTAAAAAGTAACTATCTTCATTTTCGAAAATTGCAAATGTCCTGACAAAAAAAAAAGTACTCCTATGAATTTTCACGACGATAAATCCCTCCATTCCATAATTATTTTCCACTTTAAATTTTTATTTCTAGTTCAAATTGTACTAAAAGTAGAATTTCAAACTAAATAATAATTTTGGGAAAGAGAGAGTATGCAGAAATGTTTATTTGATGCGCGTGAAAAGTCACTTTTATTTTTCTATATACAAACTCCAGACCATTGTTCATCGATCATCATGATTCAAAAAAAAAAACAGCTTACAAGCAATTTCTCGATATACACCCATGGATATTCTAGCTTTTATTCAATAATAAATAAATTATTAATATAAGTATATGATATTTTCACAGTGGGAAGCTTTTTCAGAAACAATATATAAGTTGTATGAATTTGTAACAAAATCAGCCGGCGATTTTCAACCGTCGATTAGGAGTATTATCATTTCCAGCGCCATCTACATAATCAGTATTGGGATCAATATCAGAAACACCTCCGCCCCCCAAAGCGTTCAAAAAATCTGCCCAGTTCCCCACGCCGCCGAAACCGCCAACAGCGCCACCGCCACCGCCACCGCCGCCCCAACCGAAACCGAAGCCAGAACCGCCGCTGCCACCCGGTGAGCGGGTAGCAGCCGCGCCGTAACTCCATTGACCACCGCCAGGGGTTGAACCCCATCCCCAGTTGGCGTCCCAGTTCGGGCCGTGAGCTGAACCGCTACCCTCGCTCGCCGGAGGCGGTGATGACGTATCGGCTGTCTTCCGCCCTCCTCCACCGCCGCCGCCGCCTTGAACAGCGCCACCTGCGGCGTTGATCATCCATATCTGAGTTGAGATCAAGAACAAGAATGCGAGAGAAAACATGGAAACAATGTTTGGGTTCATCTTTTGTTGTTTTTTTAATTGAGGTGGTAAAATTCGTTTCTGTTTTTTTTTTTTTTTTTGGGGCAAGGAATGTTAAAGGTAGAATTGAATGCAGAAAACTGAATGAATTTCGGTTTCGGGTGGAGAAGCAGTTTCTTTTGCTGCGTTCATAAATGTGCTATATGGTGGCATGTAATTTGTTCTATTTTTTTCCCCTCACTGTTTTAAATTATTATAATTAATACCCCATCATCCAAATCGTATTAATTAATCACTATTTTCTTCATCATTCATCATACTATATTATAATTTGCTGAATAAATTTTGAAATTTGATAGTTCTTCCCACTTATTTATTTTTGGTTAATTATTTTTGCATGCAATTTATAAAATTTGTAGTCTCTCATTGAATTTTGTCAAAAGCATTTTGCAATAAATATTTTTTTCTATTTATTTCATTATTATTTTACTTATTACCCATTATATTATATTTTATTATAAAAAATTACTCCCTTATATCTAAATTTATAATAATAAATTGTCCTTGATTATCAAACAATATAATGACCCTTTAATCTCCCTTCCATTAATTTTTGTTTTTAAGATTGCAAAAAATTGTTTCTCATTATTAGGTGAATCTGATCAGTCCAAAAATGGTTATGATGATTCTAACCATTAATTTCAAAAATGATTTCTCATTATTGTGTGAAATCGATTGGCCTAAAAGCGATTTTCGGTTATTCTAACCTCTTTGAATTCCTGAAGTCTTTTCTTCTTCTCTTTTTCTCTTTGAATTTAATAGGTTCTTCAATAGTAGTTTTAATTCTTCCACAACTCAAAAAAATATTAAAAGTCATGTAGCATAAAGTTACATATATATAATTTGAAAGGGTGTAATATTCAATCACTTGTCTCTCTCTCTCTTTTTTTTTTCTTTCGAATCTTTATTTTTACCTCTCAATCTCAAATCTATCGGAGGTTATCATCTTTCATTGTTCATCTCCATCTTCTTTTTCTTGAATTTTTCCTTCTCAAATTTAGTTGGTTTTTTTCCTTTTTTTTTAAATTATTCTTTTTTTTTCTGGTAATACATAAACTCGATTTATTTTATTTCTCACCGGCTTGTCCTTTTTTTTTTTTCACAATCAGCTACTATATGTTACTTCCGTTGAAATAAGAAGTAACACATTTTAGTGATATCATTTTGTTCTTATAATATAAAAGTATAATTTTTTTTACTACTGATAAATTTGTTAACATATTTTGTAAATAGTGTATTAGATAGCAATATAATTTACTATCTTAATTATAAAAATTTATTTTTTTACATATAATGTACATTACGTAACTTAATTTTACATAGTGTATGCGCGAAGGGCGTCTAATCCATCTAGTATAGTGTAAATTTAGAATAAATGGTAATGCTACCATCATCAGTTGCTTGCATGGAAATGTTATATGCGTTCGTTTTATCCATTTATATTTATTGAAAGCAGCTGCTAAAAAATCACGTGACAGCTCCAAAAAAAAATTTTCCCACCTAAACTCTACTATTTTTGGAAGTAAATACATGAGGTTTCCTGTATGCAAATCTTAGAAACAGTTATAAGTTTCAAAAAGAGACCACGGACTGCCAAGAAAATTTTTCGCGTGATAATGCTCTGCCTGGAACAAATCGGGAATGCTTCTCGGGTTGCCGCCGATGTCCTGAAGCTGGAGCATAAAAGACACTTGAAACTAATCTTAAGAATTAATTTTAGTTATTGGCTAATGGTTTGGTCTATGGCTACCTGGTCACAGTGACGAGTTGGAAGCATGGATGGAAGCTTTTTCACGGTCAATTTAATTTCTTCTCTATGAGGAAGTTCAAAAAAGTTAAATGACCTTTTAAAAGATGGATGGAACATTATGGAAAAATGGCAAATTTCACAACTTAATAATTTACCTTAATTTGTCATTTGTGTTTGTCTACATGTGCCAAAAGGTTCGAATTTGTAACTAAAACTAAAATAGCAAAAACTGGTGTACAGATCATGCCCTTGTGGACAGATAATATTAGTTACATAAGCTTCTCAGTTAAAAGAAGCACCAGTAATTTGCAAGCACGAAAGCAAGTAAAAATAAAATAAAAAAAAACATCATAAATCGATATTATTCAAAAGGAAATATGCCAATCCACTATTTCGTTCCAATCAGAACTCAAAACTGAACGAATCTCAAATGAGAAGGGAAAAAGAGGAAGAGGAAAGACCCAATACAACAATCATATAGCAATGAAAAACTTTATCAATTAATTTATTGTGAAAGCTTGTGATGCTCGATTCTGCTCCAAGATAGATGATGCGGTGCCGTTTACCTCTTAACTCAAGATTCACCACTTTTCATTCATATAAAATGGAAAAAGAAAAAAAAAAGATTAAAAAAAAAACCCAAACATGCAAAATAATAATAATATTACTATTTAGTACTAATGCTAGAACTTTACCTAATGATTATGGTTTCGTGCTTTAAATTCTAACTCCAGTTATCTTTAAAGTAAAAGTTCAATTTGGATGAAGCAGATGAACATTTTTTAAAATTTCTCTGTCATTCAATTTTGAGTGTATTCCCTTCTTAACAAGAATCCTCTCCGGTCCTTTTTATAAGACATTTTAATTTATTTTAAATTTTACTTAAAATGTTTTTTCGAGTTATATATATTAAAAAATATTTTCTAATCATTAAGAGAACATAATGAATGTAAAAATATAATTTTAAGGTTTTTTTTCTAATAAAAATATATATATATATATTAGGTGAAATTTTAAAAAAATCAAAATACCTTATAATAAGAACCGGAGAGTAAAAGTACTAATCTTCGGCCGAATCATAATTGAGCTAGCCAAAACTCAAAAAGGATCGAATAATAGACGCGATATATAGTTGTCATGTGCGAGTTTTGAATCGTGCCAAAAGTTCATGACCGTGGTTATTAACAAAAACTAGTATTGGGAAAAGATTACTTTTGCCAACTGCCAAATGTAACAATGATGATTCCTAAACTTAGCACTGAACTCAAGGTAGTTCCAATATTGCAACTGGTTCCCCAGAGTAAGTGAATATGATGAGGAGGAGATGCTTCTAAAATTATGCTAATCTAATTTGCAAACCAAAACTTTTAATTCTTTGTTAGGGAAGAGTTACCCCCTAGTCCCTAAATACTCAGTACTCTAATAGGGAAAAGAAACCGATGAGACTCTTCCTGCAGCATTCTCATATTTCCACAACACACTTTCATTTCCAGTAGCTCAATTCAAGGAGATGACAAAATACTAACCAAACTTCCACCAAGAAAAATTTTGAATCAACATATATCCAATCATGTTGGTGTACAAACTAAAAACCGAAATTGTGTCACACAGAAACACATAACTAAACTGACATGGACATTATCTGACGAGCCAGTCCAGGATCTTGTTGCAGGAGCTCTCTCAGATTGGTCTCCACCTCGGCCAACTGCTTTTCTAAGTATTGCTTGGATGTCTGTCAAATGGCCAGCAAACAGTAATTAGCGGTGTTACAAGTTTATCTAAATGAAAATGCATCAAGCTATGACATCTTTTGACTTCAAAAAATGAGAAAAGATACAAAGATGTGATCTGTAATCAACAAAGATAAGACATTGGAAACAAAGTGTGAAAACACAAGGAAATGCCCAAAAACTAAGTTCTGAGTTTGATATAATATGCCCACAAAGCATCTCTATATGTTGGATGTACAATCACTTGTCAAAGTTGAAAATAGGCAAGACTGAAACAAACAAAAATTATAGATCAAAAACCAAAAAGGACGAACAAGAACAAGAACAAATCAACTCTTCAAAAATAGAGCGAGTGCAATCCCTAACCAAACAAAAGATACCTATAATGTACCATGACACCATGTTCTGAAAGATATCTATCTAATAAAAGCAAACCTCGAAAAATATAAAAATTGACTAAAGAACTGAAGGATTCCTCTCAATGAGCAATGACGGTAGATGGAAGGTAAAGTTACAAGCCACAACTCCAGTTATCCTCATTCCTCCAATCAAGTAACATTTCCAATTGGAAAAGTTCAAAAGGAGCACGACGACTTTCAATATCAAACAATCTATATTAAGATTATTTCCATCATGATGGCTTCTTCCTTTCTCAAAACTGGTGAGAAAGTAACTTATTTTCGCTATGTTGAGAAAGCAGTAAAAGAATGTCACCAACTATAAGCCAGTTCAGAGTCTTTTCATCATCAACAAACAAAAAGTAGAGCCAAAGAAAAAACTTATCACCACTTGCATCATTATATACATTGCAACCAGGATGACCTGACTCTATCAACTGCAAAAAGATCATCTCATATACATGCTGAAGACCGAAAAGCCAATAAAACGGTGAAAGGTGTATTAAAATTTCCTGCAAAGGGCTACGTAGTAATCTCTCACTGAACCTTCAAACACTTAAATGCCAGTAACAGCCCATTGTCAAAACTTCTCGAATGCCAAAAGGCATCCTAGGTCCTTTATTACTTCTGATCAGCCATGAGATTAATCCTAAATTCCTAGATCTAAAAATAAAGTCTCAGGATACCAATGTGAAAGGAGAAACTAATAACGTAAACAAGCATACTCAATGTCATATACCTCACTTCCGTTATTTTTTTAAATCTTTAATTCTATCCTTACTCCAAATAAATGCATTTAAATTATAAGCTCTACGATAAGAGATTGTTTTCTCAGGAGCACTAAGGAGGTGTTAGATTGATTAAATAACACATACAAGATTTGGAAGTAAAGGTCAACAGGCATATACACACAATTACATCAAACAGTCAGTATGCTGAAATCAGAAACCTTATACCTGGACCTGAAGTACCAAACTATACAACAAAATTTCTAGAGAACAAAAGTTACATAAAGCAGGAGAATTAAGTGAGAATTAACCTCCAGAGTCGATATTGCAGCTTCACTATCCTTCAGCTTTTGCTCTTGTTCATTCATTAAAATTGATATAGGCTCCAAAACAAACCTGATCAAATCAGAGTCGAGGAACAGACTTGTGAAGATTTAGTTCCAGAGAGAATAGATAGAGAAAAACATTGGGAAAATGAGCTGCTGAGTGCAGTGGCAGAGTAGACATCAACTAAAGGGTACAAGATAGGAGTTATGAACTTACGTTCTCCCTGCAAAAACAACAATCAGAAATTAGTAAGCCAAAAATTTAAATACAAAACCAAGCACAATTTACTAGTGAAAATATCAAACCTATTGATTTATATGCATTTGTATCATCGGGCAATATACGCAATTCCTCCAAAGTCAGATAAGCACGCTTCTTTTCTCCTTCTTTACTCCGCATCTGGTTCTGCACCTGAGAGAGATGGCACCAGACTTTTCTCAAGATATGTCATACATTGTAACAGTGGTATCCAGAAAATAATAAATTCCCTCCTTACGAAAAATGCGAAACGACAGACAATGCAGAACAAAGAAGTCATAGTCCAAACCACTCCAATAGCTAAAAATTTGATACCTCATTTGATGTAGGAGGACGTTGGAACTTATTCGTTATCAGTAAATATCATACAAGCATAACAATCTAATCAGATTGATTCATGCACTATTTAAGCTCTTGACTAATGCACTCAAGTACAAATACATTTAACCGGGTTCAACATTAAAGAACCCTTGCACAAAAATCAGATTACCTACAGGATTTTGGTAACTTAATTTGTCAAGTTAATCAGATGACGGAGAAAACAACTTTGGAATTAAGTAAATAATAAAAAAAAAACCCAACAATTTCAATCAAGATAAGTTGCAAAACCCAATAATATGATCCAAGAAAAACTGATATCTGTGCAGATTTTTAGAACCATTATTTGATTATCCCACTCAGCTTCAATGTCAGCTCGCAGCAAGTTACATTCAAAACAGAATAAAATAGCTTAATAAATCCAACCAATTTGACGAACTTCAAGCCTAATAAACCACAAAATACCTGCTTCAATTTAGCTGTAGTTTCGATCATTCGATTCTGAATCTCGATAAAAGCCTATTAACAATGAGAATCATTTTTAAGCATAATAGTATAGGAAGAAAAAAGGACATAAAAAGAAAATTCAGTTCATACGGTACTTACAGTTCGGTTTGCTTCATCGGCCATTTGATTTGATTTGATTTCTTTATCCGATGTTTCCAGTAAAATTTGGTACTTTAGTTCTACGAATTTCCGAACGGAAGACCTAGAGTCATGAGAATTACGAATTCCAATTGAATCTCTTTGTTATAACAAACATAATAATGAAGAATCAGAACCGTATTTTTATCATTGGGCCTGTGGGCTGTCGTAGTCTTCCAGTAGTCAATTGGGCTGTCCATTCTAATCCTTCCCTCCGGTCGGAGTCGGACAATAAATATTCGGCCGAAAATAATCTTTATGCGTAGGACTGTCAATTTCTAACACGACCCGAAATTTCGACACGAAATCGACACGAAATAAGTGGGTTAGGGTTGGAATTTTAGATCCATATAATAAACAGGTTAGGTTGCGGTCAACCCGTTTATTATACAGGTCAGGTTTGGGTCAACCCGTCAAATTATCCGGGTGATCCGTATGTATATAATTTATGTAATGTATACGGGTAATATTGAAAATTTACGTTGGGAGTTACCCTAAATCCAACGTTGGGAGTTACCCTAAATCCGGGATTCACTACTTCAGGTCCTTTTGTCACATTTTAGTTTTCACACACAGCAGCCTCGACTCTCTTTCTCTCACATAGCAGCGGCCAATCCAAAAATCTCAATCTTCACCTAATAGGCCAATTTTTATTATTCACCGGCGACGACCTTCCCCTAATTCTCAAATCGACCCATCAAGGCTTCGTTGTCAGTTGCGATTTGATCCCAATCTTCACCCTAATCTTTCTTTCTGAGAGCAATATAATGTTTCTTCATTTCATCGGAACTCTTTGAGTCGCCTGGTAGCAGAGACGCCTCTCAGTTCCCACCCGCCAGAGACGCTTCAGACGGAGCTTCCCATAGATCTGGACTCTTAAGATCTCCTGTTGAAAAGATACTTCAATAAAGGCAAGTATTATCAAATCTCAACCCTATGCACTGATCTCTTCGTTCTTGACGATGTGTGGAATGAGAAACAAGAATTTTTGCTGATTTTGTAAAAGACAGATCCGAGAGTCTCAGCAAATAATTGTTCTCGTCAAAGTCTTTGTAAAATTGAAAAGGCTGCATTTTTCTGGTTGATAAGGCTGTTTTTTGCTTGCAGAGGTGCTGCTTAGCTGCTGGTTATTTGAAGTTTGGAGGAATTTCTCTCATGTTGCAGCGGTTGATAATGTCAAATTGTTAAATGTTGTAATTTGGTTATTATCTTGAATTTGAAGGTTGTAATTTGAATGCTCTGGTTATTTGGATTAAGTTGTAGTTGTAACTTATAATGTAATTTGGTAATTTGGATTTTAAGGTTTGTAATTTGTGATTTGGTAAGTTTTTTTTTAAGATTTCCGGGTTAACAGGTCGGGTCACGGGTGACCTAAATATTTTCAGGTCGGGTTAGGGTTGGCAAAACCAACCTGTTTATTTATACAGGTCGGGTTCAGGTTGCCTATATTTTATCGGATTCGGGTCCAACCCGACACGGCAACCCGAACCCGACACGGATTGTCAGCCCTATTTATGTGTGGGACTTTAATTAGGAGTTATGTGTGGGACTTTAATTAGGAGTTAACTAGTATTATTCCTGTGGCGAGTTTTAGATATTATTGCGTTAAAATTTAAATGATATAAGTCTCCATAAAAGGTGAAGTATAAATGACCCATGAATATTATTGATGATGTAATTTTATATGAAAAATCTCAAGTACAACGTAATCACAATCAATGTTAAAGTATAACAAATCGTTTTCCATTCAGATGTGTTTAAAAAAGAATGATAAAAAAGAAAAATTTTTATCTAAAGAACACAAAAATTCATGTCTACCTTTCAAAAGAAATTACACCTACAAATATTTATTGGAAACGAAGAGAATTGAAAATTTTTAGCTGGTAATACAACTGTTTCAATCTCATGGATTGAATCAATAATAAATTTCTAATTAAACCTTACCTCGAATAAAACTCATCTAACAATTGTAAAATAACTACAAAAAATAAAAGGATTGGTGGTAGCAGAAACGGAAAACAATAATCAATATATAAGTTGACTTCTAACAAATAATAAACTCAATTTTAAATTAACTCTTTAACCCTAAGAATAACCAAGATATGTAGATTAAAAATATACTGTAGTTATAGCTCTTTTTAAGTCTCTCAATTTCCCACCTAGGACCCAAGAAGTTAAACCACAAACTCAAATACTGGCAATCTAAAATTAATTAAACCATTAAAAACTAAAAGAATGTGAACAAAATTGTTCAAATGTGCTCATCGCATATATACTGAATGTTGCCACTAGATTAAAAATGCCACAATTTTTTTCAAAAGCAAGATGTTATAAAAAGATCAAACACATTTATGCTTTTCAGTGAAAAATATCAACATCATCAGGTTAAAAATAAATTTTAGCCAAAGGTTATTCATAAGCAATAACAATCGTATTGGGAATAAAAATTAAAAAAGAATTGAGACAAAAAAATATCGATGAAATTTTATACGATTATAAGACCAATTATCTCGTATATGTATTAGAGATGGTGTATTCGTGAAGCTTTATGTCTTTTGTTGTAAAAATCCTAATTGTAGTAGGCGAGTGATTAAATTTAGATTATGATAGGAATTTTTATTTTGGAATATTATCCATAAAATCAACGCTATTTTGAATTTCAAATGTGTAGATAAAATAAAATTTCATTAAGTACATTTATGTTCTCCATATTTAACATACTATGGAAAAAGGATGAAAAAGTAACTTTACATTTAACGCTTTAACTACATACTTTTAACTGTTTAATGAATGACCAACCATTAATGACATGTGTTCATAAAATCAATTGATGAGCAATTAAAAGACACATCATCACTCCATCTTCTTTCCTTTAAAATATATAATATAGGATTAAAGAGTTGTAATCTATATCTATCTATATCTATATACTTACCATCCATTATAGCAAAAACCAGGTTTCTTCTAAAATTCCAAGTGTTCTGTGCCGAAAAGTCTTCCCACCCAAATCCAAGGCAAACATAATTTTTTAAAGAAAATAATAAGAAAAAAACATTAAAATGGGAAGTTTTCTTTTTATTAACTTTTCCTCTTTTTTTTTTTTTAACACTAAAACGGGAAGTTAAATCTATGTACATCCGTCCATTATTTCGGACAAACATGGATAAATGAAACCGCCAACTCTCCTCTATCTAATTCTCGAAAATTATTTCATACAACAGGCTTTTTTAGGGTAGCAACACATCCATTATAGCAAAAACCAGGTTTTTCCTAAAATTCCAAGTGTCTTTCTGTGCTTAAAAGTCTCCCCACCCAAATCCAAGGCAAATACAATTTTAAAAAAAAAATAATAAGAAAAAAATTAAAATGGGAAGTTTTTTTTATTAACTTTTCCTTTTTTGATTAACATTAAAGCGAGAAGTTAAATCTGTGCACATCCGTCCATTACCTTGGGACAAACATGGATAAATAAAATCGTCGACTCTCTTCTATCTAATTCTCGAAAAATTATTCCATACAACAAGCTTTTAAAGTGCAGTAACACACCCATTATACTGTAAAATATCATGGCCCTCCTAATTTTGTGGTCACTTTCTCGATAAAATTACAACCTTGCCCTCTTTATGTGTCTGGCTGTACAATCCTACTTGGTACAGCAGCTGTATGGAAGATTTTTTCCTAATTCTCCCCTACAAAACAACACTAGCATGCAGTTGTTTTCTTTCTAAATAACTGACATATTTGAAATAATTCACATATTTGTTTTATAGTTGTTTCTCCCTAAAAAGCACGAACAAATAATTCACATATTTGAAATACATGCTCTGCAAACGTGGAGCAGCACCAGTGAACAATATATAAAAAGGGGAACCAGCAGCTGACGGCAACAACGACATCTCTCGAGAAGAGGCCACCATCATCGGTAAGTTGTTGAAATTATTGATATATTTTAATTCTTAATTATTTGATTAGAATTTTAAACAAAGTATATGTTTTCAACAACTTTAGTTAGAGTTTTTTAAATGGAAGATAGTGTTTTTAGGTTGATAAGGAAACTACATATCTCATCAATTCATCTCAAAAGTCTCCAAAAGCAATCTCAATCAATATCTGATGGAGAAGGCTACTATACGAATGCCAGATAGGAACAAAACTAGGAAAAAACTATCAGTATTGAAGAGGGGAAAAATTGGCGGAAAAACACTTCAAATAGGTATGCAAAATTCTTTTGACAAAAAAAAAAAAAGTCTAAACTCTAAAGGTGCAGTATTTTTTTTTTTAAAAAAAAATTTGTTTCATACATAAAGGTGCAGTATTTTTTGATATAACAACGATTGAAAATAAAAATTTATCAGCTTCAAATTTTTGAAATCCGAAACACCATGATTCGGATAACGCAAATTCGAATCTCTCCTGTTTCTCTGAGAAATGCAACTCCCAATTGCATTATTTACTGCACCTAGTCTCAGATTTGGGAAATCTGAGATAAGTACAAAAGGTATAGTTTTAGATTTGAGTGATCTGAATCTTCACCGAGACTGCAAAAAATAATTAGACTAGTTTTCACCAGTCCTAAATTTGTTTAAATAGCACCAACAACAAGTAAAACAAGAGAAAAGAATTGATAACAAAACAAAAGCATTTTCATAACATTAAAATGGAAATAGTCTAAATTATTAAATTAATACCAAAATCATCAAAAACCTAAAAAACACTAAACTACAATCATTGTTTTCCTCTCCTAGGAATAGTTCGTGGGATGAGTTTATTTGACGGGTTGCGCGATTTGTCGGATTTGCGAAGAATAGGGTGTAGTTGCTGCGACATTGGCCTAATTGTATCAAGTGGGATCAAGTCTAGGGGCTGTGAGTCTCCTAGACCAATGGTGAGAGGTTGCCCTTCTTTTTACTGACTACTGAGTGTGAGATCCTCTCGAAGAAGGATACTCGTTGTCACATTCTCCTCTCACATCCTCTTGCTTGGCT